TGCTCTCCCAAGAATGCATCCCAGTGTCACTTGTTGGCTTGCTTAGGTGACTGTGGCCACTCCTCATATCTGGATCTAAGGTTCTGGGCTTTAACATGAGTTAGTGATAACAACACTCCATCCTGACCCACAGGCTCTCAGTGGATCTAATGGATATGACATGGTTTTTGCCATCAAATGTGAGACAAAATTAATTATCACCATTCTGTGTCTGGGGGTTTGCTTTGACTGTGGACATACGTAGTGGGTATCTGACACCTTAATTTTTTTTTGGATGTTTTGATCTGCTATTCACATGTCACTGGTAAAAGTATATTGCTAAATAAGTTACTTTTATAATAAGTTAAGTTTGAAGAGATTGCATCCATCTATTATGTTACCTTACTTAAAATTGTATTTATTAAGTAGCTTTAACTGTTGTCTTAGGATACTGATTTCTGCTTCATGCTTCTTTCAAGACCACCTCCAAAATAAAATAAAATTTTATTTTCCTTAAAATATTTCTAGATCATAAATATTGATAAAGAGGGTTATATTATTTCTTAGTTGTCAAAGTTTCGCTATTATGAAATATTTTCTGTAGGTGTGTGTCATCTACAACTTCTGATGAAGTTATTTTAAAAGTGTCCTTTAATTGAATTACAGAAAAAGTTCCCATATACTTTTTGAAAGAAATCTCTTTGTTTGTGTGTTTATGCATTTGTATAAGAGACAGAGCAAGCTTTGAGAGCAGATCAAAGGAGTTCCCACCCTCCAGAGGATTTCTTCTATAAAATGTAAACATAGTTATTTCTAGTTTCAGTGAACAGTAAGAAAGAATATACTTTCATTTTGGGCACTGAAACAAATTTCCCTCTTTGTTTTTTCCTCCAGTTTTTTATTGTTGTAAAACACATACAACATAAAAGTCACATGAGTGTACATTTCACTTGCCCTAAATTCATGCATAAGGGTAAGCCACCACCACCACCACCACTATTTATCCCCATATCCGTTTCCATCCTGCAGAATGGAAACTCTGTACCCTTAAACCAGAACTCCCCATTCCACCCCCAGCACCAGTGTAACTTCTGTGTTTATAGTTTTTACTATTTTAAATATTTCACATAAGTGAGATTACAGTATCTGTCTTTTAATGAATAGCGTATTCTGCTTAGCTAATGTCCTCAAAGTCCATCTATGTTGTTCTGTGTCAGAATTTCCTTCCTTTTTTAGAGCTGAATATTCCATATTTACTGATCCATTCATGTGTTGATAGACACATGGTCTATGTCCACATTTTAGGTATTTTGCATAATGCTTCTGTGAACTTGGGCATAAATGTCTCTTCACATCCTGCTTTCTATTCTTTGGGTATACATCCAGAAATGGAATTGCTGATAATTCTGTTTTTAACTTTTAGGTGAGCTGCCATATTGTTTGCTGTGGTTTGCATGTGGTGGGTGTTCCCCAGACACCCATTGAGACTAGAGACTTTACCCTCAGGGTGGCACTATTGGAAGGTGGTGGAATCTTTGGGATGTGGGACCTATTAGGCACATGAGATGTTTCTGTTCATCCCTTTGATATTTCTAGTGAGAAGGTTATAACAGGACCAAGCCTGGCTGCCACCCTGCTCCCTGTCCTCTTTGTCCTGCTCCCCTTTCGAGATATGACTGCTGACTCTTACATATGCTTTTGCCATGAGCCACCACACCAAACCGATGGGACACCCCCCCCCCATTCCCCTACTGGCAGGTCTTGAACTTTGAACCTGCAGAATGCTTAGCTGGATAAGCCTTTTTCTCACTACTGTGTAGGTATTTCATTTGGTGGGAAAAGCTCACTGACACATTTTTCCACAGCAGCTGTCCTGTTGTAGGGTCCTGCCCACCGTGCACAGACTCCCACTTCTTCCTACCCTTGCCAACACCTGCTGTATTCTGCCTTTGTGAGAGCAGCCATGCTGGTGGGTGTAAAGCCATATCTCCTAGAGTTTGATTTCTGTTTCCCTAATTATTCATGGTTTTGAAGCTCTTTTCATGGGTTCATTGATTATTTGCATGTCTTCTCTGGAAAAATGTCTACTAAAGTCCTTTGCCCATTTTTGAACCAGATTTGTTTGTTGCTGTCGCTGTTGACTTTTAGGAGTTTCTTGATATATTCTAGACATTAACCCCTTGACAGGTTTCTAATTTGCAAGTATTTCTCCTGAGATTTCCTTCTTAATCTCTTGGTACTTTTTTGATTCATGCTTTAAAACATTTTTCATAAAGTCCCATTTGTCTCTTTTGTTTGTGTATTACCAATTCCTTTAGTGTCATAGCCAAGAACTCCTTGCAGAGTTCAATATCAAGAAGCTTTTGTGTTTTCATCTGTGAGTTTCATAGACTTAGGTCTCATATTTTATTTATTTTTATTTTTTACTTTACCTTTTTAAAATTAATTTATTTAGTTCAAAATTAGGTGTATATGACAGCAGAATGCATTTTGATTCATCGTACACACAATTGCAGCACAAGTTTACATTTCTATGGTTGTACACATTGTAGCATCACACAGTCATACATGTACCTAGGGCTAGGCCTTTGGTGTATTTTGGAATTTGTCTTTGTATGTAGCCTTAAGTACAGTGCTAACTGTGGATATCCAGTTTTCCCAGCACCATTTATGGGAAAGACTGGCCTTTCCCCCATTGCATGTTGCTTGGCTTCCTTGGTGAAAATCTTTTGACCCTATGTGTATAAATTTCTGAGCTCTCTATTTTATTCCACTGTTTCTGCTTCTGTTTGCTCAACTCTACCTTTGAAGACCTCTAGTTAATTTTCCATTTTTTTTCATTCTATCATAGTTTTCAGTTCAAAAATTTCTGTTTTGGTTCATTTTAAGTTTCTATTTTTTTGTTATTTCCATTTGTTCATGCCTCCCTTTCTTGACTCTCCCACGTTTTTCTTTAGTCCTTTGAAATCTTAAAACAGTGGTCTTCAAGTATTTGTCCAGTAGATCTGCCATCAGCTCTTAGAGAATTTCTGTTTTGTTTTTTGCCCCACGGAATGGGCCATACACTCCTATTTTGTTACAAATCCAGTCCAGAGGGACAGGCTGTTCACCTGGTTGTTCTCCTGGGGATGATGGGTGCTTTCAGCATCTGAGTCCCTTTCTTCCACCCGTTGTCTGTTTCGCCCTCCCACCCTCCTGGCCTTTCCCACTGCCTGGGCTTCTGCCATTAGTGGGGCCTCCCCTCTTCCTTTCTTCCTGGCCCCAGGCAGGTCTACTGAGCTCACACTCTCCATCACACCCAGGTATATGCCCTCCCTCAAGTTCAGCCTGTTTCCTTCCAGTGTGGCCAGAGGCACCAGGGCTGTCCTATGCTGTGGCCTGATATGTGGCCATCTGCTGTGGCCTCTTTCCCTGCAGCAGGCTTGCATCTCCCCTCCCTTCTCCTCTTTACCCCCCAGCAATATTTGCAAAGAGAGTTCCGCCTAGCTTCAGAGGCCTGGTGCCTTGAAATCCAATGACTCACCTTTCTGAGGCTTCCCCTGAGCAGGGCTGCACTGCTGCTCTCTGAATTCCTCGGGTACTTTCCTGTGCCCCTTGCCTGCCCTCTCCATGGTCTGCCTGCATCTCCATTGTACCTGTGCATGGGCAGAGGTTAGCGGTTGTCCAGAACCACACCTGGCCAGCAGTGGAGCTGCGACAGGAACCTCACTTTCCTTGGATATGACGAATCCCCAGTCACTTCCCTCCTGTCAATTTCTGACCCTCCCCACTTTCACATCAACCTCCTCTCCATTGCCCACAGCACATGGCTTTTGTGTCTAGTAAGCTCCGAATAAACCTCTAGAAGGTACAGCACCTCTGCCTCTTTCCTAAAAAGTCATCTTTTTAAAGGGACTATTCAGTTGACATTTGTTTCACAGATAACCAAAGCACTAAAGGATGCACTGGTACCTCCCTTCTGTGTCCTAAATGTTTTGTGGTAGACTTTATTTCCCTGCTAAACATAAATATTGATTTGAGATCCTTGTGCCAAAAAGTTCTTTATCACGTCTTCCTGTTTCCATGGATCTTTCTCAGGGCTGCTTCTCCCTATATCCATAGTATTTATAAGTGGGTTGTTTTTAAAGCTAATTAAATATTATTTTGTGTTATCTCTTATCTGGTCCTCAGGTTTTATGCATTTCCATAATGCTTATTTCCCAATGGTAGCAGTTCTATCCATTTTAATGAATAAAAAATAAAATAGCTTAAATCTCTTCTTGGTATATCCTAAATAAGCTTTTCTTTAAAGACAGTATTTGAATAATTTAGAATCATGTTTCTTAGTTGGGGTATTGCCTGTCTTGCTATTTGATAAGCCAGTATTCTAGTCTTATCTGTAGATCTTTCATTTATTATCAAAGAGTCAGATGCCCATCAGTTCAAACGCTATTTACGTTGAAAAAGAACTTGGCATTGTTGCATTTTAAAAAATCATCTCTGGAGGGGAAACAATCATGCTTTAGGCTGTAACTTAAGTAGATCAGTTTTGTGTCCTTGGTATTAGGTGGAAGCCTGCAGCCTGATGAAATCAAAGCCTGGAAGATTTGCAAAGAGAACCGGGCTGGGAGATAAGTTTAACAAAGCTTTTGTTTTTCAGATGCAGCGTCCTTTGATTCCTTGCTGTCGTTAAATTCTGTGTGTGCATGGTGGAAAAGAAACTTTGAGTGACCTTATGATGTTAAGGAAATGCCAAATTATGTAAAAGATCCTAATTGATCATTTTTAATTTGAAAGGGGGAAAGGGAGAGGGAAATAGTTCTCTAGTTATTTGATTTTAAAAATCCAAATCTATTTAAAGAATTTCAATACATTTGCCAAGTGGTGACTAGTTAGGGAGAAAAGGTAGAGATTCTTTCTGATGACAGTCTGTCCAGGGGGTGAGAGAGGTGTCTGTGGGTCTCCACTGCGGTGCCCATTCTTCCACTGGCGTGCAGAGCCTGCTGGTGACCTCTCCCTTTGCTTCCTCTTTCCCCCTGCAGGTCACCTATCTGGGGAAAGTGTCCACCTCAGGCATGCAATTTTTATCGGGCTGCACCGAGAAGCCGGTCATCGAGCTCTGGAAGAAGCATACACTTGCCCGAGAAGACGTGTCCCCAGCCAACGCTCTCCTGGAAATCCGGCCGTTCCAGGTGTGGCTGCATCACCTCGACCACAAAGGTGAGGCCACGGTTCACATGGATACCTTCCAGGTGGCCCGCATCGCCTACTGCACCGCCGACCACAACGTGAGCCCCAACATCTTCGCCTGGGTTTATAGGGAGATCAACGACGACCTGTCCTACCAGATGGACTGCCATGCCGTGGAGTGCGAGAGCAAGCTGGAGGCCAAGAAGCTGGCCCACGCCATGATGGAGGCCTTCAAGAAGACTTTCCACAGTATGAAGAGCGATGGGCGGATCCACAGGGACAGCTCGTCCGAAGAGGTTTCCCAGGAACTGGAATCCGACGATGGCTGAATGGACTTGAGACGCTGAGCAAAGGCAGCATTGGTCACGGGAGTTCCAGGTGACAGGTGGATGAGCAACGATTCAAATTTGGGATGAAAAGACTGCCACACTATTGGCTGACCATGCTTTTTAAATTCCGAAGAGCAATTCTAAATCTAAAGAAATGTATCATTAAAGTAATTACGTCACATTGAAATCTGCTGCTGCTGTGACTGTGAGGAGGGTGGGAGCTTGGATGGGGAGGAAGGTTCTAGACTTTCTCTCTCTCTCTTTTTTTTTTTTTTTTTCCCTTATACCAACTCCTCCTCATGGGAGATCTTCATGCCGATTTTTTTTAACACTCTCAGGCAAATACTCTGCGGCTGTTATTTGAGGGACCATTCCAATCTGCCTTATGAAATCCAACCAGAAAGTTAGAGGCACCTCTGGATCCCTGTGGGGGGCAGCGAGGGTGCTGATGCTGGTGCAGAGCCTGCAGGGTGGAAGGGACAGCTCAGGAGGACCCAGAGCTCCTCTCCACGGCATGTTCCAGACCCTCCTCAGTACGTGAATCAGCACAGCCTTTATCAAGCTTTACAACTAACAACCTGATAGTTGGCAGTTAATTCGCAGTTAAAGATAATGCTTTTATTTACATGAATATATCAAGTAGTACCCTCTTATTGTATTCACTTCATCTATTTTCTTAGAATACTTGCAACTACTAATAATCCCTTCCCTTCTCCTGCACCATTCATCCTCCCTCCCCTTGCAGCATCCCTAGAGAAATGGATTCTCAGCATCCACTGCAGGACATCAAAGGGAAGAAAATGATCAAGCAAATGAAATAAACAGTGAACACACCAACCAGAAATCTAAAGCAGAAGCTCCCTGAGAAAAAGGGAGCAAACGATTAGCACGTAACACCCCCTGTGGAGGCGGACCCTTTTACAAACCTGATTTATGGTCACTTGCTTGGTCCATGGTCCTGTCTGATGAACCCTCCATGGAAAGCTTCAAATCTCTTTTGCCGCCACAAGGAAGCTTTGCTCCAGCACTCAACACTGCTCTCAAGTAGGGAATGAGTTGCGTAAATGCAGCTGGTCTAGAGAAACTACGTCCACTGTAACCTAAAGGGAAATCTTATCTTGTTCTCTGAAAGTTGGTGATGTCTTAGAGTCAGAATTGCCCACTGGTTCATGGTTTCTAATGAGAAATTCTCCCTAGGAAAGCTGAGAATTCTCAGTCTCACAGATCTTTAAATACCATCAAGAATGGAATGTGTTTCATGGGATGAAATACAACGTGTTGGTTCAGATACATGCATTTAAGGCTGAGAGCAGATGAGTAATTTTCCAAGTAATACTGCTCCTTTACAAAGTCTGTTTTTATTCTTGGTAATGCTAGGGGCACTGGGCACCTAGAAGCCTTAAATGAAAGCCAATATAATCCAGACAGCGATGGTGTCAGCATTTGGTCTGTGGATCTGTGTGTCCTTGTATGTGTTTGTGTGTTTGTACGTGTGCCCCTGTGTGTGGGTCCAGTTTTCAGGCATGTACAGTGAGCATGGCTCATACTGAGGAGGACTCGTCTCCTGAAGATATGCTTGTTGCTTTACGACATATGTAAACGATTCTTTAGCATAAATGCATTCATTCTTTAATAAAAATATGTTTGAGTTAATAAATCCAAAGAGTTTCATACTTTGTTTGTTTTCTTTTCCAAGCAATGGAAACCCAAATAGCAAAATAGATCAAATTGAGTAAGTAGAACAATTCTATCTAAAGAAAAATTTTATACTTGCTCATAAATTGCCCGTTCCTTGGTTGTGTTTAAAAATCTTGTTTTATCTTCTAAATATTTAATTTGTTTTTAATGGTTAGCCTACCCTTAACTGAGATAACACACCAACAGTTGGAAAGAGTTATTTGGTACAATAGATTTATTTCAGAAGAATGCCTCCAGAATATTTTGCAAATATTGCTATTTTGAAAATCCCCTGTACATCTTTGGAGAAGCCATGCTGAAATCCTGGAAGGTAAGCTCTGAGGAGACTGGTTAAAAACCATCTCCTCCAAGTCATGATTTCTCAGAATGGCCCCATCAATCAAGCCAGGCAGGTGGCCTTGGAGTCTGTGTGTTTTCAGAAATGCCCTTCATGGTATCAGTAACAAATATAAAGGCTTTTAAAGTGAAAATGTGGGTGCCTGCTAAAAAGATGAACTCAAGTGAGAATTACTACCCAACTCTTGTGATGGAAATGGCTTTTCTCTCCAGTCCAGCTTTCCCCAATTTTATTTCCACTCCACTGTCCTTGAACATACATCTGAAAGGAAGAGAAACAACAAACCAGACAGCATATATTTCAAAACCATGTCATTTTCCTCTCTGAGTAAAAGCTGAATCCCAAGTGCATTTTTGGTTATTTTTTTTTGGGGGGGGGAACTTTGCTAATATTTTTTTCAGAGTCCTAAGTGACACACGCTATGTAACTCACTCAAATCATATTGACATGACATTTTGCATGGGATGAATGGTAAGCAATAGAAAGATAAATACACAAAGATTATGAAGTCTTTGGTGGGGGCCAATAGTTATTCCTCTCAGAGGGAAGATCCAGATTTGTAATTTTTTTTCTTTTCTTTTCTTTTTTTTTTTTGGTACCAGGGATTGAACTCAGGGACACTTGATCATTGAACCACATCCCCAACCCTTTTTATATGTTATTTAGAGACAGAGTCTTGCTGAGTTGTATAGGGCCTGCAATCCTCCTGCCTCAGCCTCCCAAGCTGCTGGGATTACAGGCCTGCACCACTGTGCCCAGCTGTAATATTTTTAAATGCTTTTTACTCCCCCTTCCTGAGCTAGCTTTTCTATGTCCCGTTCCTGTGAGTTACCTCCTATGCTCCTCAAATATATCCTGTAGGCAGGTGTGACAGTTGCTTCAGACATGAGGAAACTGAGACTTAGAGAGATGAAATCCCTTAGTAGAGGCAAGGCAGGTGGGCTGTGTTTGATCCCTCTGGTCCAGGCCTGAGGCCCTGTTGCAGCAAGATCCATCATACCTGGGTCTTTCATTTCCATTTCTCTCAAAATCACCTAACTTATTATAAATTCGCATATCTAGAGCATTCTGAAGAAGCATTCTTTGCTATTTATTTTGGAAGTATTTTTGGCCGTGATAGAATTTTAAGAGCCAAGCCCCAAGAAGCTTTATTTGAGCACAAAAAGTAATATCAACCCTTGATTAGGGATTTTCTGGCTGGGGGCAACGGTCACAATCCTTCTCTTCTCTTAAATCAAGATTTCTGTTTTGCTTATTTTGTGTTGCTCAGGACTCATTAAAACACTCCATCAAGTCCTTCTGGTACAGGACTCTGTAGCATCCTGTAATTTTCTTCCATGTCATTCAGTGCCATTTTCAACCATATTTTTATTTACATATTTATGTAAATGTCTGTTGAAATATCTGGTTAATTGTCTTAAGATGGGGAATTTGTCCCTTTTTTCCAGTTTTATCCCCAGCTCCTCTAGCAGGACGAGGCACTGGGGAGGAGCTCCTCAAGGTGAGAGATACACACACCCAAGGGACAATCACTGTGTGTCTTTGATTCACAAATTCTAGGGCAGGATCCTGGAGCACTAGAAGGTTCCCTAGTAACTCCCCACCCAGTTTCCTCAAAGGTGAGCAAATAGCTTTCTACTGAAGAAAACCACGGCTCCTCACCCAATTCCCCAAGGAAGCTGTGGCTGCCTGGAGATAAGGGCCCAGTGCTGGATGCGGCTGGATGACGGAGGGGGCAGCCAGGTGACGTGTCTCCGGACACCAGCATTTAGTGGATGAGAGAACTTTTGTCATATGTTGTCCCTGTTTATTTCTGTCATTTAAAAGAAGAGAATGACTGTGGAGGGAGGGCACTTTTACATTCTGATAAACGAAGCCTGGTGAATTTGGCTGGGGTTTTCACCAAGCTTATCCTGTAGAAATGTCTTTTTTTTCTTTTCTGTCCCCTCCTCTGCTTTTTCTCTTTCTTTCTTTCTTCCACCCTTTCTTCCTTTTCTCTCTTTCTGCCTTTTATGTTTATTAACCCCTGGATACATTCCAGACTCTGTTGGATTTTAGAAGGCAGGAACCTGTATGCTCTGAATCTGAAACCACACATTCTGGTTTGTGATCCACTGGTGCAAAACTTGGCAAGACTAAGGAACAGTGAAGCTTTCCTACCCTATTATTTATTTATTCATTTATCTTAATTAGATGGGTCATGACTTAATTCTTCATTGTCTACCATTGCTTAAATATTCAAAAAACATGTTCTTCCAGTCTCTCAGATATACACTAAACTAACTTAGAGTGAAGACACCCATAATTGTCAGAAGGCAACTCCAAAATTCTGATTGATCTTCAACTTTTCTGCGTAATGATGAGATTTGGCTCCAGGAATAATTTGGCTCCTGGAATAATTGATCAGCTTGAAACCTTTGGCTTCTCCTTCTGAAGAGGTGCCAAATGATAATAGTCACAAGAAGAAAACTAAGTGTGGTGCAGAGAAGCCCAAGCATAGGAAGAAAAACAACAGGAAGGGTAGAGACCAATTGTTCAGAGGATATTTGGATATTTGCAAATTGACCTTACTCTGGATATTTGCAAATGAGCCATATTTGTTAAAATGAATCTAAGACATGGTGATCTTGTACAATTGAGCACAACTAATGCTCCCAGACTTGTGGAAAGTGTTTCTTTTGAAATGCCCTAGTAAGATTTATCTTGGGCTTTGCTTATGCACACAAAATTGGGAATTCAACATGAATCTGAGTAGATTTTATTTGGGATACTTAATGGTTTCTACTTTAAAAAATAATGTTCCTAAGTTTTTGATAGCTTGGCTTAGAAGTTTCTCGAGAGATAGTAAACTAAGATTAGTGACTTCTTATGTATTAATTCAACCACCTCATAATAAATAAACCAATAATTATCAATACCTCCATATCTATACCTTCTTTTAACAGCTATTTTCTAAATGAATACACACACACACACACATATATTCCTTTTTGAAAGCGTATATGTAGGGAAAGTTTGGATTATTTGAAAACTTTGTGAAAGTTTTTTTTTTAATATTTATTTTTTAGTTGTAGTTGGACACAATATCTTTATTTATTTATTTTTATGTAGTGTTGGGGATCGAACCCAGGGCCTCGCCCGTGCTAGGTGAGCACTCTACCGCTGAGCCACAACCCCAGCCTGAAAACTATGTGAAGTTTGTAAAATAAAACATGATACTGCATGAGACCTGTTTGATATCAATCCTATCATTACATTGCCTTAGTTGCCCTTCCAGAACATTCTTTGCCCTCTGGGGGCAAAGCTTAAGAGAAGCTCATAAGGAAATATCCACTTAGGAGGAAGAGCCAAAAGTAGGCTGCATTCCATAGTCTTTTCTTTTTTAGGAATTAATTATTTTAATGACATGGTTGCATATATTTATAGCATACAACATGATGTCTTGAATATGCACATATTGTGGATTGTCTAAATCAAACTAATAAACATGTGCATTGTTTCACATAATTGCTTCTATGGTGAGAACAGTTTAAATCTCCCTTGGCAATTTTCAGGAAATTAAAAACACAGTGAGATGTCATCTTGCACCTGTTAGAATCACTACTGTCAAAAAGACAAAAGATAACAGGTGTTGTGAGGATGTAGAAAGGAAAGGGAAACTTTGTACACTGTAGGTAGGAATTTGAGTTGGTGAAGCCATTATGGGGAACAATCTGGAGGTTCTTCAAATAACTAAACACAGAACTGCTATATGATCCAGCAACCCCACTTCTGGTTATGAAATCAGTATGTCAAATAGACTTCTGCACTCTGTCTTTCATGGAAGCATCATTCCCAATAGCCAACATATGGTATCAACCCAAGTGTCCATCAGCAGGCAAATAGATGAAGAAAATGTGCTATATAAATATACACACACAAAAGGTTATTCAGCTTAAAGAAGAAGAAAATTCTGTCATTGTCAAAAATATGTATTAATTTGAAGGGCATTTATCTAAGTGAAATAAGTCAGGCAAGAAAGACAACTGCATGATCTTACTTATATGTGAAAACTCAAAGTGTAGCATTTAAGGAAACAGAAAGGTGGTGGTTCCCAGGAGCTGGGGAGGTTTTGGACAAAAGAAACAAAATTTCAGGTTAACAGAGTAGTAAATTCAACAGTCTACCATACAGCATGGTTACTGTAGTGAACCATAGTTTATAATAGTCATGATCACTTTTTGATGTAAATTTTGGATAAGTGAAGACTCAATCTTGTTATAGGTCTAAACATTGTGGTTCTGATTCCAATTTTGCACAAAACCCCACACCTAACAAGTGTCATCGTGTTTGTGATTGGATTATCTTCATGTAGAAGGTGTTACATGAATGGAAACATCTCCGATGGGGGCCTGGATGGAACTGGGCCCTTAATTTAGCCCTCTCTGATAGCTTACTGCCTTTCCCATGCTGATTGCAATAGCTTTTCCTAGAATTGAGTACCACGCTTCTAGAAATTGGTATATTTAAAGCTGTTTACCTTAGACAAACTAATTAGAAGTTTGTGGTTTTAGTCTTGAAAATGTTAGGTTTTATGTTTATTTTAATAAAAAAAATATAAACAGGATGAATAATGTTGCTATAGAAAATACAGCCT